TCCTTGGTTGGAGTTGCATCTGAGCAGCCCACAGAAACTGATCTTCTACCGTTCACATTCTCTAGTTCCAGAATAAGGCAGCATGGCTTAAGACTTCCCATTTGCTTCCTATCAGTCAGCTTCTGCCTCTAAGATAAACTGCAGAAATAGCATGTGTTTTGCAGGCAGAAAGTCCTTAGTTCATTCTTTGACATCTCCAGAGATAGAACTTTGGTGGCTGTTGATGTACACAATTTGGGAGAACTGCTGTCACTCAAAACTCTGGTCTAGATAGTCCAATTATTTAGAAAACAGTTCCCTATGCCAAAATATATGTACAGTGTCCAGACAGAGATATTGGATTGGATCCAGTCTTAGTTACACTTAGAGTAAGCCTTCGTTTCCACTGATGTTAATGGATCTAGTTCTACTTTATCTAGGTCTAACCAAGTTTACATTTAAACATTGAAAAACCTGCCAAAGAATCTGTTCTAGTTTTATGTGAAGAGTTTGAAGAAAGGAACTAAGACTGCAAACAACTCCGATTTCATTAGAAGAACCAGTGACTAAGAGAATCTCAGGCTCAGTGTTTATTAGTCCTAATCCAGTCCATTGTCACAACCGGGCATCAATTTAGCACCTCCACAGCTTCACTCGATGAAGATGAAAAGAAGAACTACATGTCATCAGCACATGGATGGCAACACATTCCAAAATTCCTGATGACCACACTCAGTGGTTACACATAGATATTGGGGACAAAACCAATTCCTGTGTAATCCTGTCCTAGAGAATCCACAGGGCTTTCTCCCTCATAAAGTTAATTAAGACAATCTTCCCAACCCACACCCTCAAGTTCTTTTTAAGTGCCACTTAGAAATGAACTGCACATCTTGAAGAATTCTCTCCCCTGGTCCATTTCTGTTCACCATTGAACTGTCTTTCCACCATTTGTCCCGGGTCTCTTTTTCTCTTCTATATTCCATCCACAGCACGTCTTGGAGGATGTAAAGAAAGTGGGTATGAGAAGTTCTAAATTATATTTGACTTTGCACAAACACAGCAAGGGATTTTCCCTCTCCTTTTCCTTACTCTGTTCTTTGGGAAAAGTGGGTTCACATCGTTGCAAAGAAAAGAATCTGTGGCTAGCTGCTGCTATGCAGCAGTGGAATTACAAGCTTTAATTTAATTTTTCAGCAATTTTTCAGTGGAGCAAAATACAGAGTATCCAGTTCTACAATCCTATGCATGTCTACTCAGAAATAAGTCCCAGTAATGAACGACAATGTTCTTTATTGAACGACATGGGACTTAATATTACATGAGTAGAGCTGGCTGGAGCCAGGGGTCAGCCTAGAAGACCCAGGATACACCTTCTGATTTGCTATGTTTCTATGTTACTCCCAAGAAAATGCATAGGATAGAAGCCCCATTTACTTTTGAGGGGAAGTTTGTAACCTGAACCACTGCAGGTTTTGCTCAGAAATGAGACCAAGCTGAGATCATAGTACTGAATAGTACTGAAGGCTTACTAAGCTGTATACCTCATACTGCTCAGCTGACATGCCTGCACTTTTAGCTGAGTCCTATGCTCATTCTGTCATCTGTCTCTGTGTTTCCCTCTCCTCTCCTCTCCTCTCCTCTCCTCTTCCTCCTCCTCAATAAACTTTGGTTTCAGTGGGAAAGGAAAAACACTTGGCACACATCCAGAGAAGCTTTCTGCATAAATTAGTCCAACTATTGAATGCAGACTCTTTGGCTGCATTTGGATACTGCCTTGATACAAACTAAGTTGTGGCAAGGAGAAGTCAATGAGAGTCTGCCCATGACAACATGGGGATAGAGGAGAGTTGCAAAACCCCCAAAACATCTGTGTAATGGAGAATTGCTGAAGGGTAGAAAAATGAGGAAGGATTGCTCTGTGGAGGAGCAACAGGTGATCGATCCCCACCTATAAGGGGGTTGCAAGGTGTGCTTCATACTTAATCCCTAAAAAGGGAATGCTGAGCTTTAATCTTTGTGGAATAGGGAGGGAGACTGGCAATTGTTCAGTGGTGGGAGAAAATAATTCGGTATATGTTCAGGGGAACTCTTTTGTTAACATTGTGGTAAAATGTAAAATGTATTTTAATAATTCTGAATTTACATACATACATTTATTCATTAAAAACTTTTCTACTCCATCCACCACCAGTGTCTCAGGATGTCTTACAATAAACGCAGGTAGAATAAAACAAAACATGGCAGCGCATGAACACATATATACATGCACGAATTTATATTATGAGCCTGTGTCCAATATTTTAAGTACCTAGCAATTAACAGCAGGGGTTAAGAAGTCTATGCTTTACATGAAAAAGTGTACACAGGCAAAGTTGGCAAAAAGAAGACAAATATATATGTATATTATGGGTGGCACGATCTTATGGCCCCTGAATAGCATCTGGAAGCACATAAAACAGTTTAGATTTGCAGATCTGAGCTTGGAAAAGAATGCAGAGCTGGGGAGCTGCACTCAAGTTGCTGCTTCCCCCATCAGAGGCAGCACAGAAGACTCAGGCCGGCTGCTTTGCCAAGGTCAAAAGGCCGACCCAACTTAATACATTTGCGTCTGCACATCATAGAATAAAGTTCAAATATATTTAATATTCATAACACATATTTTTAAACTGAACATCTGGTATTGCACCAGTGTCTAACGGGTTTGAGAGACCTCCCCAGATTATAAGAGAAGGTAATCTCCTGTTTCTCTTTAGAATTCCGGTTCAGTTAGTGTACAGGGAACAGCTGCCACTTTTTAATCTATTTACATTATATTCTGCCTGGTATTCTCAAGGTGTTGATTCTTCCATCAATCCAGGACTCAGAGAGGTACTCCCAATGTAAAACAGACATATTTAAATTGTGAAAGTTAACTGAGGAAAATGCTAAGTAGCCTCAAAACATCTTTGGGTTGCTAGATAAACACAAACTTGTAAAGATAATGTTGTTATGGCCACAATGAAATGATTTGCTGCTTTTAGAGCCCAAGATGCTGTTGGAACCATCTCGGCTTGGTGCAGTGTTTCAAGCAGAATATTGTGTCCATTTTCCTTTCAGAGCTGTTTTGCCTGCCACCCCCTGCCCCAATAGTAAAAAAAAAACCTTGTAAAGTCAATAGTAGCATAGATTTTTAAAAGAAAACTCAGGAAATGGTCTTATTCTAAGTCTCCCTCACACTATTTGACCAATGGGAGAAGTTTAAAAGGAAATCAAAGAGAACTAGAGTCAAGAGTGAAAAATTTAGAACTGCACAGATTTATTGTTTTCAATTTCTTTCTTATTTTTGTTTATTTTAAAAATTTAAAACTACTAATAAACCATGACTAAACAATTACTAATTAAACATAATTAAGCAGTATAATAGCAGTGCTCCCACCACCAGGACCAACAAATTGTGTTAATTAATGTAAGATCATTTGTTCATTCAGGTTGCCCCCCTCCCACTTCCCTTCCAGAACTGCAGTGACTCTGATTATTGTTCACACCCCTTTCCTTTTATTAAGACACATTCAATAAACAGTCTACAAATATGTTCAACATTATTTTTGTTTATCAAACCTTTTTTCCATTTAATATCGCAAGTTAACTTATCATTGATAGCTATATTCCAGACTTCTTTATATCGGTCAACTATTTGATAATCACTTTTTATTTTCCAATTCCTTGCTGATATTATTCTTACTGGTGTTAATAGAGCTTCACAAATTTATGAAATTCTAATTCCTGCATATGTTGTCACTTGATGCTTCCACATAAGGCTCAGCTGTGTAACTGCACTGCCTCATTCACGGACAGCAATGCTTTTCTTTGACATCTTTACTTCCTCCATCTTTTCTCCTACCAGAAAAAAATTCTGTTAAGGAAAAAATATGGAATAGCTGCCCAATGCATTTTGAGTGTAAATGCTAGCAGACACCTAACTGGAAGCATGGGTCTGTTTTCCCTGTTCTATTACATACTCAAGACTAATATGGTACTTGTTGAAATTGCCCCAAGATTGAGTTTGAAAATTAATAATTTCAGCGGCACCTCAGCTTTCTATCAAAACTTGGCACTTCCAATGGTGTGCACCACCTTGTATTACAAGGTAATCAATAATAAATCATCTATGTTCAGATATTGCAAATGGTGCTCTGAATTATTTTGAATGGTATTGTTTTTAAAGGGTTTTTTTGTGTGTTTTGATGATGTTGATGTTTTCATTGTTTTGAGCTGTTGCACTCTGCTTTGGTAGCTTTGGTACCAATTGAAGCTTCCAGACTTGCTTCAAAGAAAGTACCATATAGATCTCATAGCTGTGGTCTAAACATGATGTGCCTACAGCATGGATAACTATGCACTCAGGTCACAATTGGCACATTACACTTAGTTGTGTGAATGCACCACAGGTAGCTTCCAAAACAGTCCGGCTTAATCTATTTTCTGAATTGCTGATTCAGTGTCTGAACTAAATCTTGTGACTGGTGCATGGCAATGTTTGCTTATGCAAACTTTTACATATCTGCCTGTATACTACAGGTAATAAACAATTGTAGGTTTGTGCATGGAGCACAACAACTGCCACCAAAGTAATGCTCCCTGCAAGTAATTTGCTCACCTTTTTGAGTGCACAGAGCACCTATGGCTTTCCCCAGTCAACCTCGGTTCTAGCAAACCATATTCTTAGCCCCGAATTACCTGCCATGGCACAGAATGCTCCATAACAGTTAAGCCTTCCTCCATCTATACTATTCCTCCAATAGTGACCTCCCCACCCAACAACACACAAGTGGGTTAAAAAAGAGGGAAGTTTTCAATGGAATAAGACATGGTCATTCTATTGATATTTAGCAACCTGATTGTTTTGTATATTGCTTGTAGCATTATACAGTGTTATTAAATTCTGTGCAAAAACATTTGGCAGTAACATTTTATAATAGGAAGGAACTAGGTAGCACAATAGGTTTTATTTCATAGTGAATTACTGCTAATATACTTACTTTCGCCTTTCTGACTCAAATTTATTCAATAGTTTTTGAAGACCACCATTTTTAAAACCCTGAAAATGTGCTGCAGGAGCTCCTACTGTAATGACATCATAAAGAACATCTGCAACAGGAACAAACAAATACTGAGGTTTGTACACAAAGCAGTATAGTTGTACTGAATCCTCTGCATATAACAGTTGCAGTACTTCTTTTGAAGCATGTGTTTCTTACTCTAGAGCATTACTGTAGGGTTTAACAGTGTGTAATAAATACATTTAAGTATTGCATTCCTAGATGTGTCCCAGATAAGATACAGCTTCCCCTCAAACTGATCTCACCAATCAACTGACAGACTTAGGAGGTATTGACTCTGAAGCTTAAATAAATGGCAGCAATTTCTTTTTTTAAGCAAAGTCATGTTTCTATGAGTGGTAGGAAACAAACAAAAAACATTCTCTTGTAATTGCACCTACTTTGTCTAATCCTGTTCTGCCGATAGTTTAAAAAAAAAAAACTTCAGCAACTTTCTTTAGCCGGTGTGATATAACTTTTTGGCAGTTTAGCCCATCATCATTCCCATCCTACAGTGGTTTTCCAGCTTTTGTGCAGTTTTCCTCATTCTAAGATGTTGAAGTTTAGAACAAGCTCCCTGCTGTGGCCCGCCTGGCACCAAACTTGTCATCTTTTCAGTACCAGAATAAGACAGCCCTCTATGCTGAGATCTATTTGATTACCCAGGTGCCCAAGAGTGATTTCTCTTCCTTTGCAGTGCCATTTTCTTTTTACAGTGTGTTTTAAGGTATTTTATACTCATTTTAAATTAATTTAAGTTGCTCTGTTTGTATGATATGTTATTATTTTGTTTTATGCACTGTTGTAAACCAGCCAGAGAGCTTTGGCTGTAGGATAGTATAGAAATGAAAGTAATAACTGATGATGAAAAAGAACTGCCTTTAGTTACTAGTAATAAGAACTTTAAGCAAAAACATGTCATGGGATTTTTGTTTGGTTTTGTTTAGTTTTACTCTTCACTAGGGATGTGGTGAACCTCAGTCGTCATCCAGTGCTCATCCCTCTCTAAGGAACAGAGCTGAGCCCAGAAGTTCACGAGTGATCATGGACCCCCAGACATGCAATCAGGAATATTTCCCAGCTGCCGTCCCTTGAGACCAACCTCCCTCCCTGCTTGCTGCTGGCACCAGCACACAGGAAAAAGGGGTGCACTGAGGAGGCATGCTGGCTGCCTTTTCTGGGAGCCAGTCGTGATGCTGCTTGCATGGAACACGGGGCTTCATTTCTGGTGAGCATCCAGCGAACCCTTGGTGCGCATTCCAGGAACTCAGACTCTAGGCTGCTGCAAAGAGGATCAGAGCTTAGGAAGCCGAAAAAAGGGAATCCAGCAGATTTTTTCCATCCAAAGTGGATTCCTCATACATCTCTAGTTCTCACCCCTTATGCCTTTGGCCCAGTCCCTTTTGGTTTCATCCCCCCCCCCCCAACAATGTAGTGTGGCCCCAAGAGCTGTTCTGAAACTGAATTTAGCACTGACAGAGGATCCACGCCCTCAGCCACAGGTGTGGGGCACATCATAGACCTGATTGCTGGTTTTGATGTAAAGGGACTACAAAAAGAGTCATAGACTATACAGGTAGTCTCTGGGTTCCAAATATCTGGGTTATGAGCAACCCAGCACGCAGACTGCCATAACCCCTATATGAGTATCTCTAAAGAAAATTTGTGAATCTTTCTAGGGAACTATATGACATGTTTGGCAACATGTCATCAATGGCCATATAGTTCCCTAGAAATATTCATGGTTCTTCCCTAGAGATATAAATGCAGCTAGAAATAGTCATAGTTATACCTAGGGATCTATGCAGTATAAACATGAAGCATCTCTCAGTAGCCACGTAGTTCCCTAGAGATACAGCAGTCATGGCTTTTCGTTTCACAGCATCAGCTCAAGCCAACTCGTTTCGGGACACATGCAGGGCTTCAAGGATGAAGCAGAACCACGGCAAAACAGTTTCTGGGAAGGGAAGGGCAGAAAGAGAAGTGCCCCAATGTCTTCTCCCTACTCCTCTGCTACTTTGCTGTTTAAAGCTTGAAATCCTGTTTTATATTCAGGACTTCCCAATCCATGAGATAACATTAAGCCCAATGTTAACTAACAATGATGGAGATGGACCTGGTGCTGGAGAATCAGGGTTTGATTCCACTGCTGGAGGGGGAATTGCCACTACTTTCTTGAAGTAGGTAGGACTCAAGGGTTGTTTGTACAGCCACTTTCTTTTTCTCATCATAAATGGCCTTGTAGCAGCTGAGGGCCTAGTTACAAGGGCAAATGCTAAAGGGGAAATAGAACGATATTAGTATGCCCATACTACAGATTGGGTAATGATGCTGAATTGATAGCAGAGAATGGGAGGGAGGGAGAACCTGTCTGAGTAGAATTTGGCAGGCTCAATCCCCTCCAGGCCTGCAAGTATTACCCAATTCTATAAAAAGAAAGTAAGTTCTGTTTATTTTCTCTGTTTTGTTTTAGGTTTGGTTTTGTTTGGAACTGTGGCATTTTATTATTATGATTATTGTAAATTAGCAGAGTAACTCAAAAATATTCATAAAATAAACAAACAGAAACAACAAAACAACATACGTACTTTATAGGGCTCAAAATGCTTTATATACATGATTTTGTCATAATCTATGCAAGAATAATAGTGACCTAGTTTAACTCTATAAGCCACTGATTTGAAAGAATATTCTAAACTACTTTAAGAACTGTTCTCTTATTGGTTTTTTACAATACTTTATATCTACACATATTCATACTGATTCTCACTCTCTCTATCCAGTACCTGTAGTTACTTTATTATTACTGTATTATTATAATTATTATGATGTTGTATTGTGTTTATGTTTTAATGAACATGGAAGTGTTTCTTAAGTGTTTTAGATGCATATAAAGGTAAAATATATAGATATACTAAGACAAATGTTTACATATACACATACCAAGACAATCACATTGGATCATGTGATCCCACTTATATTTGAATTCAACTTAAGGATATTTTCAGGAATCAAACTTGTCTGTAACCTGGGGACTACCTGTACATATTTTTCTCCAGATATAACTTATTTGTTTTTATTTTGTAGGTGCCATGTTTAAACAGAATTTCATTTAAAGGACAATCCTTGCTTCTTTTTAAAAATATTCTGGTAATAAAAGTTTCTGTTAGCAGAACACTGTACACATTATTAAGAGTTAATGAACTGTATCTTAGTGGTATGGTTGGGATTCAAAATAGACTCAAAGAGCTGTTTTAACATCGATGCTTTAAAATTTGATTTAAAGGCAGAAGTAAAATATTTTGATTAGTCTCAGAAAGCTCCTGTAATCATGAACACATTGCTTATTGTGGGTCCATCCTTGGGATTTGGAATATAGATCATTGTCTGCTAAAGGCTTCAGAATTAAACACAGGACTAGCTTGCTGCCTATCAGTATAACAGGTAGGAATTATAGATGAAGAGAAATCAAGAGTGTGGATGGGGAGTGGGGATGGGCAGGAGAGTATTTTAGCCTAATTAGCAATGGGAGAACCAGATACGCTTGAGTATGGCAATATTCTCCAAACTCCATTTGAAAGTTTAGTTCACTCTTTCCATTGTTATTTGCAACCTCTAATTGGAAAAGTGTGCATTTTCACCTGCATGTTTCTGAAATGCACACTTCCCCTAATGCCTAAAATATGAAAATGCGTATTTTGAGGTAAGAGGCACATTTTAGAGTGTGCATTTTTCAAAGGATATGCATTTTTAAATGAAAATTTGGGAATGTGCTATCTTTTCTCAGTAAATGCCCCCGTGTACATATTTGTGGCTGAGAATGGGGCAAATTCTGAACATTTTCAACTGGAATGAAATTTGCATCCATCTGGAAACTAGACACTTTTGCCTCCCATTGCAGGAACATCATGACCTTAGAAGGCCACAAGGAGGGGATCAATGGCACTTCCACCACCACGAACATGGCATGGAGCATTTCTCCATGAACGGGATGAGGAAATGCTGGCTTTATCCATAAAATGATATCATTGAGCATGAATGCCTCAGTTTATAAGAACATTCCTTATTATTATTTTGTTAACAGATTTAAGTGGATTTTAATATTCAGTGGATATTTACAGGGCTGCTGCAACCAGACAATAATTTAAAATGTTAACATGGAAGCATTTAGACCATAATATCAGGTAGCTCTGAATATAGGCAGTCCCTGACTTATGAATGCCCAAGTTATGAACAATCCATCCTTATGAACAAACTTCCATAAAGCCTGTTGATTTTAAAAGTCACTCTGGAAAATAACCTTCCCCATAGAGAGAGAGAGGAAGAGGAAGGGGCGGGGAGAAGAAGCATGTCCAAAGCATGTCTTTCTGTCCCACCCATCTAGAGGGAAATCCCTCCAGACTTTCCTTGGTGCACAGAGGAGGCACTGGTGAGTTGGGGTGGGGGGCGCTAGAGACATTCATGGTTTTTCCACTTTCCTGTGGGCCCTGCACCGCTAACTCCTGTGAATATGGAGGCCTGGCTATATGTGACCTCCTCAAGACCCTTGCATTGAATGGACAACTATAGAACTAGAGCCTATGTGTGTGTTCTACATAAATGAGACTCTGCTGAGGCAAGAACACAGACCTTGTAGAATTCTACCCCCTGGAGGAGAAGCTTCTGTCCTGCAGATGTCCATGATCAACATGTGGATTTTGGAACAGGGCTGTTCAAAGTTAATGATTCTACGCTTCAGAATGGGCAGTTTTTAGAACATGTTTTCCACACTCAAATATCTACCCTTTCTACAGGATGTTTATGCACTTATTGATTTGCTAAACAATGCCATCTATTTTGCTAATTTCAGAAAGCCTTCCTATGAGGAAAGAATGCTACAGTGAAATGAGATCTATTGGGTGACAAAAATAAGTGAGGAATTTTGCAGTCACTGCATATAAGCTGCATCACATAATATATTTTCCCCACTGCATAAAGCTGGGCAGACCTTAAGAAATAACAGGAGCTACTTTTACTTAGGGCAGTTATGAGAAGGAGCACAACTTGCAAAGAGATTCAATTAAATCCTGATTATTTTTGTTGAAACAAATATCTTCTGTGCATTTCTATAGTTTACAGGTCTGCAGCTAATATGAGTCAGGGAGAAAAAGAGGTTATTTAACAGAAGCTGAATAAAATTACTAAGCAGGAAACTGCATACAGAATAGAGTTTACCTTTTAACCGAGGACTGTGCACATGCATTCTCTGCAGATGTAGATTGATTGGAACAAATTCTAGCGTCTTTTCCCCTTTACTGCAACTCGATTTGAAGGAAGAGCCTGGAAAGCAAAAGTGTAAAGAATCATTATCTCAAGTGCCTGCCAGATGGCTTATCCTTCTTAAAATGCCAGGATAATACTTCTACTTTGTCAACGTTTTTACATTACTTTTAATGGGTTATTGTGCATTAAGAAAAGAATGGTTTGCTGTCTCCATCAGCAAGTACTGTGAAGGCAGAGTACAAAATAGCTTTTCATTCATGAGCAAATTAATATTTGTGCCCCATCATATTTAGTGATTGATGTTCTCAAAATCTGTCCATGGCATATTGGAAATGATGTCAGAGTTAACTTAATTACATGTATATGCTGCATGTGGGTGTGTACACTTATGGTACATGCACACTAACTACACTAGGACCCCAAAGTAGTGTGTTCCTGTACCTCAGGACAGTTTCACAGTCTCCTAAATTCATTTTTGAAAAGTCCTGTATAAAATCAGTAGAAAAACTCTGGGTTGCAATCATGTGGCCACAAAAACATATTTCTTTGGTTGGATCCTCTAGATAAGATCCTCACCCCATGCTCCTTTGGTAGAAGGCTTTCTTTCCCCATTCTCCTCAATGCATCACAATGAAAAACCTCTTCTGGGATGCCTGAGATCCTCTGAAAGACGATAGAAAGGGATGCTCGACATGGCGGAGGAGGACAGTGCATTAGTTAAAATCTGGTACAGCCATCCTTGCATGTGGGGAACTCTGTAGAACATCTGCAGATCCCCTTTTCCCATGGCAGCTCCCCATACCCATCTCACTCTATCCCTGAGGATCTGCTGGCCTTCGGGCAGCTTTTTGTGGGGAGCAGGGGTGGCAGAAAAGTTGCCTTTCACAGGTCCGTGGTTCTGACAATCAATCCTCTCATTTCTATACACACAAGGGACTTGTGGCTATGGATTCTCAGTAGGTGTTCAATATGTGCAAGTATTTTAAAGATATAAATGATCTTTTGTTGCTTTGTATTATTTTATGATTACATTTTTTTCTTTTTATTACATATTTGTTGTCCAATGTTCTTATATATAAGCAGAGTTTTGCAAAACCTGATGGCTGTGTATGTGCTTTATAATGCTTGCAGGGTGGAGAAAAAAAAATAGTAAACTTGACAAATTTAATGAGTTTTCCAGAAAATCTACAAAAAACCATTTAAAATGTCTAATTATATGTTTTGGTGATGCAAACCCTGTTCTAAGCTTTTAAACCCACACACAAAGGAAAAGAATGGAAATGGATTTGTGACCTACATATTTAATTAGAACAAATATAATTCCTAGTTGTGAATATCTGTAACTTTCTTACATCCCATATGGGAGCTATTCAAAGTGGTGTTGTTCCAAGCTAAGCAGGTCTGGGCTTGGACAGCACTACATGGATCAGCTGAGGATTCCCAGATTGCAACTGGGATACAAAGTCAGTCTTGAAACATGGTGCCCTTCCAGATGTCTTGAACAGCTGGGTATTCTAGGAGACATAGTCCAAGATCAGGAGGTCACCAGGCTGAGAAAGGCTATAGCGTTGCTTAGATAAACACACACAGATCCCAAAATAAACAAACGGAAAACTTTGCCTCTGCTAAATAAGCAACAATTAAGACTAGTACAGTACATCATACAATAAGGAATAATATGTGTGCAACATTTTATGCAGAACTACGACATTTTTATGCACTAGTTGCTCAACAGTTCCAAGCCAAACAGTATATTAAATGTACAATTGAATTTAATGTATCTAGATTTGTTTTATCTGTTTTGTTTTAACCAGCAGCCACATGCAAAGCGGCGAGATGGGGTGGCTGGCCATTGCGAAGCACACACTGGGAGGAGAGACAAGGAGTGTGCAGACAGCCAGTCAACATCCTGCTGGCAGCAACTCAGCTGCTGATAGGCAGAGCAGGACAGCAGAAAATGTCAGCTAGAGTAGCCTGCCGCCGCCACAGCTGCTCTTGCTGCTGAACTTGCTCTTGGAAATGGGGAGACTGTTAAAAAAATTGTAACTGGCGTCACACATAATGACAATGGTGAAGCATGGCAAACCTAGAACAGGTCATACTTTTTCCATGGGAACTTGTGTTAACCAAACGTGTCATTGCTTCATCATGTTTTTCAGATTCACACATAATGACAAGCAGTCACCAGCATGGCTTGTTGTTATGTGTGAATTCAGCCATTGTCAGGTTTGGTCCCAGAGGACTTTGCAAGCATATGGCATACATAATCAGCATGTGTCAAGCCCAAAATGCATATAGGATCATATTTCGTACAAGTCCAACTAGACTATACGCAATGACTCTGGAGTAAAAGCAAGGACGGTAACACAGAACTCCATACTGCTAAGTACTTTTTGTAAGTTATATACTGGGAAAGTTTCCACCTAGGAAAGCCCTTAGAAGGGGTAGGGAAATTGTTAAGCTTCTCACATGCTCATCCCATCAAAAGTGTTGTGTTGGGTCACTGATTATAATTAAAAGCCTCATGTCAGAGGAAAAGTCTACAGCGACTATAGAGATGATGCATTCACAACCCACTCTGCAGAGGAAGCAGTGCTATTCTCTTGGGTCAGTGGGGGAAACTTGCAACAGCTGTCTGGCAACAGACTGTCAGTCCCATAAGCACTGTGAATCCCAGGCACAGAATGGAAAATCTATCATAAAAGGATAGAAACCTGCTCATTGGTTGATGGATGACTCCTTTTAAACAATAACTTTCAGAAAGCAATCTTTTAACAATGTCCTAATGCATTCATGTGAATTTGTGTTATTGGAGCACAGTTATTGGACAAAGCCTACATTTTATGCGCTAGATTTGGGATGGCAAATCTGTGGTCCTCCAGATACCATTGGATACCAACTCTCATCAGCCCCAGCCATCATGGGCAGTAGTCAGGAATCAGGTAAGTTGCAATCCAGCAACATATGAAGGGTCACAGATCCCATCCATGGGCTAGGCAATCAACTGCAAAATCAAAGTATGAGCCTCATTTGAGCTGCAGACATTTGTAGCTGCAAACATTTTTACCATTCAGTAGGGACCCTTAGGGGAGTTAGGCAGGCAAAACTACTAGTCACCCATGATGCAGCAATGGAAGGGGCAAGGGGACTTTCCACCATTGCCCTTAGGGACCATGAAGAAGTGGGGAAGCACACATTTGCTGAATGAGCATCCCTGCACAGGTGCAGAATAATGCGTTGGTGTGAATAACCACTCAGCAAACAGAAACGTATATGATGTTAGCTGTCACACTCCAGCCTTCCACCACTGCCTCACGATACCTAAAGGTAACTCTGAAGTGACTGGAAGGTGGCTAGAAAGATTTTTCATCAGTTGGTTATTATACCACTGACAACAAATAAAAGCAGAGCAGTTAGTAAACTTTTAATTGCCTGCAGTAGTTTAAGAACCTGGCAAAATGCTTGGTGCCCAAAAGAATGCCAAGGAAAACCACCCTGAAGCTCTACAGGGCCAGGAAGATCTTTTCTTTGTCATGCCTCCACTGGAAGGCCCTTGAGGTGCTGAAAGGAATCATCTGTCACCAACAACTCTCAAGACCAGGACCAAATGTCCTCTGAGGGGAATACCATGAATGCATCACCTGCAGAAAACAGGGAATCTGCCTCAGAAGTAGAACCAGTGAAACCACCCAGGTAAAATGCCAATTTAAAAGCAGGAACTCAGAATTGGTCCTAGACTGGTCTAAGGCAGAGGTCTCCTAAGAGAAGATATATTCACATGCATAAGCCTTGCTCACAAGGAGGACCTTTTGAGCTGCAGTCATTAACAGCTAATTTCTGAGGCTTGGATGTGGTTCTGACAGCATCTTCTTAAAAGCCGCCATGCCAGACCAAGAGAGTTGCTGGAAACAATGTTGGCTATTCTTTTTTGTGCATTAATGCCAGACTACTTCTTTGACTGATTTCTGGCATGAGTTCTGGCTGCCTCATGCCTGCTGTGTTGCTTTAGAAGCATGTTGACTGTGACCCAGGTGGTTGAGGCCTTGCCTTCTGCCTGATCCATGTTTATGCTGATTACTTAGAACTCTTGAACCCTGCAATTGCTAGGCTGCAGATTCTGGAAATGTGACATGTGATTGTCATCTGCTTTACTGCTAACCTGGAGGGAAGCAAGAAAGGCTTCACCAATGCAAAGTATTGAAGGCACTTTCCTTTTCCAGAAAGAGAAAAAGTGAACAAGTAAGGCTGTAAGACAAAACAAATGCCAATCCTGCAAATTAAGAGCTTTTAGAATCCTTTTGTAGGGCAGGACGAACACTGCACAGCTGAGCATTGCCATATCTTCCCAAGTTGTAAGAAGGAGTACTAATTATGAACAAGAAAGGCTACTTAGCTTGTAGGATCTTACAAGAAAACTTGTGGATGAGCCATAACTAGTTCTTTCAGTTCTGACAATATTTCTGCCACTCCTAATGTCCAAGAGTGTACCTATACAACGAGGACCTAGATTTTTAGGAGAGAAAAATTAATGGCCATTTGTTTATTTGAGCTTTATATTCCAGGCTCTGGGAGATTCTACCCATACATCCAAATAAAGAGGGATTCCTTGTTCAGTCATTTACTTCTCCCCACAATGAGGGGATGAGGGGGAGGGCTGAATGCATGTTGAAGATCTCCTGATCTCTGTTAACTGAGAGGTATGTCAGCTGAACAGGGTCCATGTAGAATGAGCATGCAGCAAATGATCACTTCAGCTGTTGAGCAAGGATATTTTCATACCTGTATATTTCCCAAGTTCTGTAAGCATATTTTGGTAGAGGGTCAACATTTGCTCACAGTGTGAAATAACACTTTTACGCATATTATCCCAATGTGGAGCAAGTTCCCCGAGTTCTTTAAGCTCCTGATTCCTAAAATGTAAGCAAAATCAAAACAATGGCATCAGTTCAGCTGTACAAGTCCATGCTGTACTTTTAATAAAAGCTTTAGCCACTAATGTAGCTTCTTATCTCCACATAGCACCACCACACTACAGCTGAGTCATAAACCATAGGCTTTGCATACAAAAGGTCTCAGGTTGGCTTCTCCAAGGAGGGCTGGGAAAGACCTGATGGAAATCCTGGTGTGCTGCTGCCATCAGCATAAGCAAAGACAATTCTGTGATAAATGGATTAATGGCCTGATTTTACATAAGGCTATGCTATTTGATGCTTTATGGGAGGAAAACCCAGAGCCTGAGATTCACCAAGGGCTCCTGTGAATTCATGGGCAGAGATGAAATATCATCCTATGTCTCTCAGATCCCAAAACAATCTAATGCCATTAATATTAAGATTTGGTGGAATTTACCTTTTGCTTAACGTTTATGTGTTGTCAACATTCATGAATCTGCGTCATAAAAAGGTGGCATTTGATGACCTTTGATGTGAAAATGAGTTGGTATCAATCCATGTCCAGTTATTCACATAACAGAAAGCATGGTTATAAAGTCGAAAGATGAGTGAGCCCGCTAAACTATTTTTTAAAAATCCAAACATTTGCTGAGCACCATGGTACTAACTTGCAAACAATCACCCTCCCCCCACATTAAAATAATTCCATTCATGTCGTGAGACTGCCATGTATACATTAAAACAACTTCATTCATGTCCTGAGATTGCTGTTACATTTGTTCAGTTAATGTTATTGTTAGCTGCTTTAAATTCTGTTGAAGAATGGTTATACATGTTTCACTATATCAAGAATGTTAAGTATATGAGTCTCTCTGTGTAGAAATAAATATATGTAAAATATATCTTGTCTTGAGTGCCATTTTTCTTGGTAGAAATACAAGGTAAAATCAGATGAATAAATAAATTAAAAAGCTTAAAGGATCTGATCCTGAGTGCTGACTAGTGAAACTCCCAAGACCCAAATGAAGTCTGTAGTGTGATCCTGAAGAAAAAGCCTAGGGTATCTAATAGAGACCTACATTTTTATTCAAATCATCTTAGATGCAGACAATCAGCTGCTCTGTGTTTGTCTGTCTTCTCCTGTAGAGAATTAAAAACCTCACATACACACAGGACTGGATGGCCTAAGACGTTTAACTACTTCAAATGAATGACAAGGTAGTGCCTCTTCCATTCTGTACTTAGAGAACAACTGGATTGGCAGCTGAATCCGTGGCAAGAGAACAGCCACGGATCACGCCATGGCAAGAGCAGGAGAGATGGCATGCATGGCACACTTTTTGCTGTCTTCCAACACCAAACTGCAGTTATTCATCCACTAGCAACTGCTACTGCCTCACTCTGTCTAATGCTCTGAGGGTCATTACTATCTGAAAACTATCAATTAAAATTGCACTTTCAACACTACTGAAATTGACCCTAAAATATAAACATCACCTAACACACACACAAGAATCAAGCCCACTGAAAAAATTACTAGACAGCAACTCTATTTCCATGCTTATTTTTAAATGTATTATCTTGCTGCAAATCCCAGCTGATGACAAATTACTTTTACTTGGGCAAGTGTTTGCGTCAACCAAAGTGAATGGACCATCAGTTCCAGTGCTGTTTATCCGGATACGTATTAGCTTTTGAGAAGAGGACTTCTTGGGGAAAGGAACTCTAACTCAGAGGCAGAGCACATGCCTTGCATACAGAAAGTCCAAACAACTCCAGACTGGGCAGGAAAAGCTCCTTTCTGAAACCCCAAAGAGCTGCTGCTGTTCAAATGCAGCATGCTGATTTGGTCAGAGTCAGTACAAGGCAGCTTTCGCTGTTCTTATGGTTTGTCTGGTCTTGCTTTTAAGCTGTAAATGTAGAGGATAGCGCCTGAGATCTTAGATGTGCAAAGAAAGGCTTTATTCCTTATATACTCTATCAGTAGCTGCAAGTAGCACATTGATTATAGGATAAGTTCACTTCTATGCTATCAACATGTGTCAAAACTCAATAGCTCAGTCAATATCCTTGTGCAGGTCAATAAATAATTTTTTAGCTGGAGTGTAATAATCCTTAGTCCAGTCCAGTACAAATGTTACAAATCCTAACATACTGCCAATGTTACAGGTAGCTTAGATGGGAATCCTAAGGTATTTGGCAGTTATTTATCCCTTAGACTGTACCCTGAAAAACCAGCATTTGCTGTGATTTAGAAGTTACATTCTCAGTACCTCTGCCTGCACCCTATTATAAAGGTTAATCTGAAAACAGGACCTGCTGGTGGAAACTTGCTTAAACCAGTGAAAGTGCTAAACCCCTCTTTCAATGCAAATGCAGATTGTTCTTAGTAACTTCTGCTGGGAATCATTTTATATATGTTTAAGGCAAACTACAGTTCTGAATATGTTTGGATGCATCCCTTCTATGATTACTTTATTTATATATTTAGCTTTACATACTGCTAACTTTGCATATCTCAGTAGTGTAGGACAAATATGTATGCCTACAGAGGGTTTTTTTGGCCTCATGAGCAAATATAAAATGTTATAAGAGAAAATTGAATATAAAATGTTATAAGGTAGAATGGAATCAATGGCACATTTAATGGACGGAGGATACATTTTAGATTCATCCTAAAATAATATTTTATATGTAAAAATTTCAAAATAGTTTTTGATTATATTTTAATCAAAACTGGTAGCTACTTATGAATGGCTATTAGTTGATGAGTCCACTGGGGACAATTCATTAAATTATATGTTAAGAAAATACTTTATTATCAGCTATAACATTTAATATATTACACTTGCAGTATCTTTAGTGATACTTAATGCAATGGGCTTGTACTTTTCAAATGCAGTCTAAAATGACAAATTTCAATAAAAAGCAAAGCAACAACCCAATTCAATTGCTGATTGCCAGAAAATGCTTCAGAGTATGTCACAGTAGTTCTACTCATTCTTACTTGGAAGCAATTCCTATTAAACTCATTGGGCTTACTTCAGATATAGTATGGTAAAAAATAGAACCGGTAATTTTTGGTTTTACGTGTACTTTTAATTCAATATGAGAGACTGTTCTCAGGACAGGAATGACTTTGGTCCTCTATGTTCCTGTTCTCTAGCCCATCTAATATATTTTATTGAAGCAGATGTAGGCACATTTTATTAAGGATATTAATAATCCCTTCAGAAATTAAGATTTTGCACTTTCACATCTCAGGGTGTTCTCCAAAAGTTAAGAAGAGGCCATGTGATGTGCAATGCTAAGGAGATGTCCCTCAGTCCAGTTATTTGCTAAACACCTGATGCCTTTGTTTTGGAGATTGTAACACTTATTAAATTTAAATATCTCAAACAATTGGGGGTTGATAGTCTAAAAGTATAAATCAACACATTAAAAAAGCAATACATTTTTGCTCTATTCTGGCATGAAACAGATTATTTATATTATGTAATAGTGATTTTGATAACATAACATAGCACCAAAGAGCGTCCGTTATGGGGAATCCAGTTTTAAATTTTATTGCAAAAGCTGTTAGAGCATGTTGCAATAAGTAGGGAAAAGTGAAACATGAGGAATTTTTTATTTATAGCTATACTAAATAAACAAATAACATTCTGCTTCAGCTCTGAGAAAGGCTCAAGGTTGCTATTCATACAATATAAGCAAAATCTCTTCTCCCTTTTCCCTAGCGCATGTTCAACTTGTCAGAGTATTAAAAGCATCTAGTGAAGATGGTGCTTTTGCACCAAGGGGCAGTAGATCAGAGATACCATCTGATATGCACAACTGCATATGTAGATCTTACCTTTCATACTTTTCTAAGTCAGGGCCATTAAAAAAAAACTTCTGGATGAAAGCTTGAGATTCACAAGTTATTTAACTAAAACTACTTTGATCTAAGCTGCTTAAGATCTTAATGCACTATTTAATGATTTAAAAATACCTCTGCTGGTTGGAAACCAGGATTAAAGCTTTGGGTGCTGGTTCAGGTATAACAAATGTATCCCATGATGTGTAATGATATGCAACTTCACACACTGTACTCACTTACAGCTTACCCTCCAAGCACCCACCTTTTTCTTCATTCTTTCAGGACCAAATTCAGGTAGGGGTGATGGAGTGCCTAAGATGTTCCACATTGTTCTGTCATGATGTAATGTAATGTATTGCTAGAGGAATCAATCTGTGAGTTGACCCATGCTTGCTTGTTGTGTGTATGCAAACAAAATTTGTCACATTGCACAATCTCATTACAGATTAGAGTACCAGCTATAAGTCCCAATTTCCTGGCTTTGTAGAGCTTAAGTCAACATAACTCTGGCCTTAAACTAGAAGACTTCTGATCACTGAATATCTGTGTTGTTTTTAAGATTACACAGAAGAACTATACAAGAAAGAGCTTAACGTCCCTGATAACCATGATGGGGTGGTCACTGACCTCAAGCCAGACATCCTGGAGTGAAGTCAAATGGGCCTTAGGAAGTCTGAGCAACAATGAAGCTAGTGGAGCTGACAGTATTCTAGCTGAGCTATTCAAAATCCTAAAAGATGATGCAGTTAAAGTGCTACACTCAATATGCCAGCAAATTTGGAGAACTCAACAGTGGCCACAGGATTGGAAAAGATCAGTTTACATTCCCATCCCAAAGAAGGGCAATGCCAAAGAATGTTCAAACTACCGCACCATTGCACTCATTTCACATGCTAGCAAAGTTATGCTCAAAATCCTACAAGTTAGGCTCCTGCAGTATGTGGACTGAGAACTACCAGAAGTACAGGCAGGATTTCAAAGAGGGAGAGGAACTAGAGATCAAATTGCCAACATATGCTGGATCATGGAGAAAGCTAGGGAGTTCCAGAAAAACATCTACTTCTGCTTCATTGACTATGCTAAAGCCTTTGATTGTGTGGATCACAACAAATTGTGGCAAGTTCTTAAAGAGATGGGAGTACCAGACCACCTTATTTTTCTCTTGAGAAACCTATATGTGGGTCAAGAAGCAACAGTGAGAACTGGACACGGAACCAGTGATTGGTTCATAATTGAGAAAGGTGTTTGGCAAGGCTGTATACTGTCGTCCTGTCTATTTAACTTATATGCAGAGCACATCATGAGAAAGGCGGAGCTATATGAATCACCAGTTGGAATTAAGATTGCTGGGAGAAATATCAACAACCTCAGATATGCAGATGATACCACTCTCATGGCAGAAAGTGAAGAGGAACTAAAGAGCCTCTTGATGCGGGTGAAGGAGGAAAGTGCAAAAGTTGGCTTGAAACTCAACATTAAGAAAACTAAGATCATGGCATCCGGTCCTCTCACTTTCTGGCCAATAGATGGGGAAGAAATGGAGGTAGTGACAGATTTTATTT